AACATGAACATCAGCAGCTTCAATCAGTAAATGTCAAAATCTTAATTGCCAATTAAGTGTTTTACACAGTGTTTCTGATGCCATCAGTTATGGAGAAACAAGTCTCCTGCTTTCACTCTTTGCTTCCTTAGCTTCCTGCATTAATAATTGAATGCTGCTACATCTTCCCAAGAGCTGTTTTTTAAAACAGTCATCTTAAAGTTTCCCTTCTTTCTGCAATCTAACCTGCCAAGGATTGCACAGGGAGACATTGGCTTGTGGGTGTCTTTTCTATCTGAGCCCTGGTCCTTATGACCAAAGCTGTAGAACAAAGGGGTTTTATTGATAGCAATATATATTTGACTAATTTAGCTATTACAGGTCATTTATGTTTATTGGCTGCTTGACTGGCAGGTATCCTTAGAGAAGAATAGAACAGTTACATCATAACCCCTCGATTGTGAAGATTAACAGCTGTTTAAAGTTTTGAAAGCTGGTCTTGCTTATAAAAGACTGTACATATGGGAAGATTTTCTGTCATAAATGGAAGTTATCAGTGAATATATGCTGCTTAGGTATATGACATTCATGATGAAAATGCACGGGGTTGAACATTCTACACAGATGTTTGCTACACATGTCTAATCTTAGAAGAGAGATTCTGCTAATGGAAAAAGTTTGAGAATTCCATTACAGCTACAATAAGCATTGAGATCAGTATTTACCACCCCTGGGACTCAGATGCTTTCTAATGACAGGACTTACTGAAATAAGCAGCTTAAGAGTGTGAGATGGCAACACACAGGTTGTGATCTTCCCTCCTGTCCAAATTAATGGCAAAATTACTGTTTAAGGAGTCTGGATTCATCTTTAGGCCTGTTAAAATAATGTATGTTTTCGGATATTGTGCATGTCTATCTAGAGTTGTGCAGGTAAATATACTTCAGTATACAAAAAAAAGTATCTGAATATATGCACACACATTTTGGAATGCATATATCCATGATTACTGCTCAAAACTGTTATCCAGGGAGATTTTTTGGTTTCCTGTTTCCTGTCATGCACCATGGTGTAATATAGAGGCCAGGGTTTTACACACACATGGGCTTTATTTATCCACAAAACTCTATAGGTCTTTTAAAGGAGGAGGAAGGACAGAGAGTATGAAAAGTGCATCTCAAATATCCTTCAGTAACTGAATGAGCAGCTTGCATCTCTTCTTTGATTGTGTCTCCTGTTTATATATATTCATGCTGGGAGTGATTGCAGGCAGTCTTTTTTCCTTTGTATTTTTTTTTTTGTCCTTCTGGGGATGGTGTGGTCTTTCAGGCTCATAGCAACTGCAGTATCTTTTTTCCCGATGTGTTATTGTGATTGAGATGAACAGGACTCTTCTTCCCTGTCTGGGCTTGAGACATTACCAGCTGTGAGCATGGCCTGATTTCTGAATGTAGGTTCTACAGCAGATTTTAAGCCTTAAGGATTTAAAGTGTAGCAGTAATTGAGGAATGGTTTCATAAAAATTCCTGGGCTGGTGAAGAAACATGAGACTGATTTAAAAGGAAAATGGAAAATGGAAGTGATAAGAGGGTAAAGAAGGCCCTTGCAGACTGAGGTGCTGTGTAGTGTGGAAGCCCAAATCTGAATGAAGAGTAACCACATTTCTTCTTTCCCTCTAAAAAGGAAGATAAGATAAATGACAAGAGAAAGGGGTGGGAGGAGAGGAAATTTGTATTTTCTTCTTGGCTGCTTGCTTTTTTGAAAAATGCCTTACAAATGCTGTATTCAGTATCTGTACAAGTCTTTGTCATGCATGAGTATGTGCAGTATGAACATGCATATGAACAGATATTGGGAAAAGAACTGATACAATTCCCTACTGAAAATGTAATATATCAGCTTTAAGCCTGGTTCCCTTTCTAGCATTTGTATCTGGTTTATGTTTCTTTGACTATGTTACACAATTACATTATTGCTGTCACTGTAAATATCCATTACATAGGATTCTGTCAATGCTTACCTAGATAAATACTTATTCAGAAAAACTTAAATGTATTACTATATGAAGACAAATTTTAGGAACTTCTGTTATGATTTAACTTTTGAAAACAGCAGTGTAATAGAATATGATGTTATCATATGTCACAGTATTTTTACAGACTAGGGTATTGCAAATCCCATTGAGAAGCAATGGAAATTTAGAATATTTTAAAGAGCTGGCAAGTTTCAAAATATGTCTGTTGAGATATCTGTAGACACATGAATGGGTCTGACAAGGAGCTCAGGTGTATAGAACCTACAAAGCTTATTCTGTTCTTTTAAATGTTACATTGAGCTTATTTGACCAAGATATTCATGTAAGTATGAATCAAACCCCTTTTTTCCTTACTTACAAGTGTATAGTAACAAATAAATGTTCTTTATAGCCTAACTGCATTCCCACTCTTTGGGACTTTCACAAGCCCACCTGACTGTGGTACTGCAGATAGTTACCCCTTAGATTATTTTCTTAAGGCAAAAAAAAAGCTTAATGATGTATTTCTGTTCCTGTTCAGTAATTTTTTTATTCATTTGCTACCAAATTTTACAAAAGGCTGGGTGTCTTGAGAGAACCTGTGTGTTTCTCAGGGGCTGGGAATGGAGAGAGAGATGTTTTTAAAGAATCCCCCAACGAGGGTAAGGCTATAGTGGGAGTTTGATGTTTAGTAGATACAAAAAAATCAACTTGATAGCCCAAGAATGTCCCAACCAAAAGAAAAGTTTGAATTAAATTTGGTTGTTTATTAGGCAGTCTAACCAGAGGATGGATTGGCAGTAGGTTCTGTGGCTCATAGATGTCTCTGTTTTGCCATTAGCACGTGATTGTGGGCAAGCCTTCCTCAGGAGCCAACTTCTCACCAGAATGATGCAACATTTTAACATTTTAACAGCTTCATACCTATTGTTTCCTCTCAATTACAAACACAGCTGTAGTAATTAGACATTTTGCCTTTTCTTCAGGGATTTGGGCTGTATTATTTCATGATGGTAACAATGTCATTAGCATTCCCGACAAAAGAATTCTTAAGGTTTGAGGAGTTTTTTCATTTCTCGATTTATTCTGCAAAAATGTACCTAAATTGCCCTGAAATACCATATGTAGTTTCCACAAAAGTAAAAAAATCTTTTCCTTCCTCTCATACTCTCACACATCCAACAGTTTTATGGTATAGTAACATATTTCCATATGATACATGCAGTCAATGCAGATTTAGAATTTATAAAGCTGCTTCTTTCAACTTCACAGCGTTGAAGCAGAGCCAGAATATGTGAAAATGAAATGCACACAGTGGGCACGAGTGTCACGTTCCTGTCAGAGGTGTGTCAAACCTCAGCCTCTCTGCTTCTTTCCAACACATTGCAAAGAAATAATTAGAAGCTGGTCTTGCTCAATCACTTCCCTGGAATGTTTAGGATATTCATGGTAGTATTTCATAAGAATAGCATAATCATGAATAATAACAGTAATTATTCCTATCATCAATATTAGAATTATTTCCTCACAAATAGAAGTCCACAATGAAAATACTCAATGCATATTGAATTTTCTGTAGCATAAAAGATTGCAGATGGGAGTTACTCTGGAGTGGCTTAAATCCATTTCTGTCATATAATAACTTGGTCATTCAGTCTTATCAATTTATCTCGTGCTAAAGATGTAATAACAAATAATCATAAACATCACTTGCCTGTGTTATGATATTTATTTTATTTCAGAAGTTTTTGAAGGGAAGAAAATACTTCATGCTATTTACTGGTACCAGGCAGTGCAAAGTTGATGATTTTCAGTATCTACATGTGCCTTTGGCTGATTGCTGCATTCCAAATATAATTTATATGTGGGAGCTGGAACTTTTCTTTTTGCTGCTTTTTTCCCCCCCTCATTTGGAATTTCACGTGTGATTCTGTATTTTTACCTAATGGTACAAACCTTAGGGTAATTCATATAAAGTGTGGGGTCCTTCATTTAATGAAATGGAGGTATAACCAGTGAGAAAAATCAGTGTGTATTTTGTCTGGTACTGTTTCTTTAAGAATAATGGGACTAAAGATACACCATTTTGATGTAGTTTTACTGTGTTTTAACATTTGTAGCAGATCTCTGCCTTACAGACTTTGGCAGTATCACAAAGGTCATATTTTCTTACATTTAAATTATTCATGAAGAGTTTCTTCAATGCACTAGATAAACTTGCAATGCCATAAAAAAAAAAAAAAAAAAAAAAAAGGCAAACAAAAAAAAAAAAGAAAAAAGAAAGAAAAAAAAAGTTAAAAAAAAAACTGTCTTCATCTGTGTGCATTTGATGGAATGGATTAATGTAAAGTTATGAGAGTCCACAAAAGAATAAGATACATAAGTATGAACATTTTTGTTGTTGACTTGATCACTGCTTTAGGTGACCAAGACCATATTGTTGCTGGAGGCTGAGATATTTCATACCCATTAAGGACTGGGCTTCAGGGTTGGAATTAACCTGGCTGAGCAGGAAATTCTGCTCCTACAGCTCTGGTGAAGAAAGCAATGGGAGAGGAAGGACAGCAGAGCTGAGAGCTGCCAGCCCAGATTCCAGCTTTAGCCCATCTCTAAAGTGGAATAATTGCCTTTCAGTCCTGCTGTCCCCTCACATCTCTCACTGGGATCTGGGAAGATCCACAGCATTACAGGAAGAAACTTGGCTTGAAGAAAGCCCTTGTATGGTTGTTTCATGTTTCTGAGAGATTTCTGTGCTAAAGCAATTTTCCTGGTTAAAAAATTTTAAAAAACCAATCAGCCCTGTACTATTATTTTAAGAGATTTACAGATGTGATGCAATTTCAAGAGCTGTGATAGAAAGGGACAGGTTGGTACCAGTGGGGAGATTGAGGGGCTGTTCATGGCAGTAATTGAGTGTAACCATGGACAGTTACAGTGCAATTACTTGGCTGGGGGGTTTCTCATTACATTCATGGCTGATCTTTGATCCCTCTGTCCTCTTTCCCAGGTCGTCCCATTCCACCTACATCCTCGTCTAGCCTTCTCCCATCTGCTCAGCTGCCCAGTTCTCATAATCCTCCACCAGTTAGCTGCCAGATGCCATTGCTAGACAGCAACACGTCCCATCAAATCATGGACACCAACCCTGATGAGGAGTTCTCTCCTAATTCATATCTGCTGAGAGCGTGTTCAGGGCCACAGCAGGCTTCCAGCAGTGGTAAGAAAATTGCAAACATATGGAGTTTGTTTGTGACATGTTTGTGCCAGTTTTATGCATTCTTTTTTAATGTGCAAATGTGTTCTTGCATCAGCAGAAAATTGAGAGCATCTATGGAAATGGGGCAATGAAAATCTTACTGGTTTATTTAATGGAAAATTCCTGGAAACACAATTCATCATATATGGTTTTCCTTCATTTTACTATAGAGAGATTTTTAGTTTGAAGTATGGTAGATTCTGTGTAAAAAATATTATTGAATTCTTGTCATCAGAGGGATTTATTTTTCAAAGTAAGTTTCCTGCTCCTTCTTGCATCTGGTAGGAGAGAAATGTACACACAATGGTTCTTTGTTCTGCATGGGCTAATCTAATATATCATTTGGTGATGAGGTTTTGTATCTTAAAATGCATGTGGCTTCTGCCAGTCTGTGTCTGTTCTTGTTTCTGAATCTGTCTGATTCTATACTTACAATGTCACATTTAACTAAGATCTGCTATTTTTCAGCAAATTAATTCTTGTCTTTCAGGCCACTGTTTTAAAACATTTGCAGCTCTATCAGTCACGGAATCTGTAGTGCCTAGGGTTTTCTTTCTTCTTTTTTTCCTCTTTTCATTTTTTTTATTTTAATTTTTATTAGTAGGTGCTCACTTTTCATTTTGACAGCCACAAACTGAGGAGTGAAGATGCAATCCCTTATCAGAAATACCAAAAAATCAAAAGAAGCTACTCTAGCACCTTTTTTTTTTTTAACATAGATATGTTGTATGTTATTTAACTGAACACAATAGGTTTTCTGTGCAGTTTCTGGTCTGTGCTGTGAGGAGGCAGCTCTGAGCAGCACTGGGGGTTGTGAGGTTGGGACTGTGGGGTGCACACAGCACACCTGAACACCCCCCTTTAACAGGGGCTGGGGGGTGAGCAGGGAGCTGAATTTGAGACACAACATTCCAAGTGGATATTAGGGATAAATTTTCCCCTAGGCTTTGGTTAGAAGAGGTGTCCCTGGGAGCCTGTCCAGTCTCTGTCCTTGGAGCTTTTCAAGAACACGTTGGCTGAAAGTCTGAGCTCCTTGCTCGGACCTCAGAGCTGCCTTTGCTTGGCAGGGTGCTGGACTGGGCACCTCCTGGGGCTCCTTCCATCCTGAATTATCCTTTAACCCAGGTCAGGAATGTTAAAATGTAATTGCACAAAGAAATAATAATTCACAAATTGAGTGTGCTTCCTTGCTCCTCGAGTGTATTGTTATGGAAAATACAGTGGCACTTTTGAGGGGCTTTCAAGAGATTGGGAGTGATCTGGGAGCTGAAGGTCTCAAAATCTGTAATGGGCAACTCTGCAGAGGCTGTGGAAGTGGGGAGGGGGTCAGGAAGGGATTTACCTTTGAGTCAGTGTAGTTTCATGCCTTAGAAACACTCCAGGCCTTTGCAGGGCTCAGCCATTTCTGAATAAGGCTGATCCAGCTGATTGAAGAGTCTTCGTGTTTTCAAAAGGTCTCAGCACAATTTGTCAGAAAATGCTTTCAAGAAAGCATTTCACCTAACATGGGGTAAGAGGGAAGGTTCCTGCATGGTGAGCAGTTATCTGAAAGACGGTGTGCAGAAGCTGGAGCTTCCCAATGAATTTTCACAGGACATTAAAATACTCAGAGAAGATGATGGGGTAGGAAAATAGGTGATGGCAGGGTGCTAAGAACGAGATCAGCTTGTGGAAAATCACAAAAGCACCTGTGAGTCCAAGTAAGGGGGCAATAAAATGACAGGGGCCCTTAAGGCAGAGAAATGTAAAGGGATATGGTGGAAAAAGCTGCTCTGGTTCCTGGGTTGGTGATGGATCCTTACCTGTGCAGGGAGGAATGCTTGCTTGTCTCAGAGCTCAGGAACAGGGAAAGTTCACAGCTGAAGAAAGGAATAAAGAGTGAGAGAATTCGTCTAAAGGGAGTGGTGGATCAAGCAGTTGATGAGATTTTAAAGGGGAGTGGGAAAAGTAAATGGGAGAGGAATGAAATAAGGAGAAGAAAATCAAGGTCAGGGAATGTGAGCTAAAAGGAGACCTGGTGGATTCTTGAGTACTTGGTAATTACAGCCACTGCTGGGACTGAGGGAACCAGCATGGCTTTTCTTAGAAAGCCAAATGAAGGAAGTGGCAGTAAAACATCAGAAAATTTGATGGAAGAGCTCTTTATGTTTCATTTTAAATCATAATCACTGTTTCTTTGTATCCTTAAAAGCTTTGTGTTTGATAATTGTTACTGTGGGCTGACCCAAGGAACATTTTCAGCATCCTCTGATTGGCTTTGCTTTGTTCGTGCTACATTTTAACACTTTTTTCCCCACATATCCCATTTGCTTCTTTAATAAACAGCCATATAATATGTAATGACTTTTAATTTTCAGAGTATAAGATACAGATGTCCTTTTTTTATATTTTTTCCCATACACACATGCAAAATTGCTTGATCACTGCAGAGTGTTCTCTAGCATGAGTTCTTCTGGACTTGATGCATCCTCTGGAAATTAATGAGCATTTCCTAGGGGTGTCACTTTTTCTCTTTAGTTATCACAATGTTTCTTTATAGAATTTGTAAGAAAATACAACAGATTATGACTTATACATTAAATTGGAGAAAGTTATTACTTTTTGTGGATTATCATTATCCTTGAAAGATTTTCAGAGTGGCTTTTGCCATCTACATGATAAGAAGAGGTTAATCATGCTTTTTGTTTTTTAAGTTCCTTTGGAAACTTAGCAACATAGACATTTGAGAGACAGTAATTAAATGTAAATATTTTGCTTAAATTTGGGCTTGGGTTAAAAAGGAAGATTTGTAGATGCTTATATGTAAGGCTTAGATCCAAGATAATCTTTCATAAATTTTTGCAAGCATTTTCTAGCTTCTTCTTTAAATTTTCCAATCCTAGTCTTCAAAGTACATGCTGCATATTAAATATTTGGCAATGTCTTCTACTAATTACGCTATAGAAGTTTCCTCTTGTTTGTCTGATTGGATACTTCTCTTGCTTCAAGCTCTGTAATTACAGGGTGGCTCCTCAACAGGTTTAAGATTAACCTTTTTGGATATGAGGAGCCACTCATCCATGTGTGCTGCCCTGTGCCCTTCACAAGAGCCACGCTTAATATATATGGAAAAAATCATTTGCCTGAAAAAATTACCTAATCAAATATTCTATCAAATGAGCAACCTATTGTTGATATTATGAAGGCCTTTAATCTACAATAAATCTTTGTTAGAACTCATCAGAACTCCCAGTTTGAGATAAATGTGATTATAGCACTCTTAAAATGACATTACATCATTGGGGTGATTGGTTTATCATTTGGAGAAGCGACATCAATCATAACTAGCATAACCACACAGTAAATGAATTCAACCTTTCTACTGCAGAACAATGACACAATAATTGCTCAAAATCAGACTTGAAATGAAATCAGAAAATGCACTTTCTTTAAATATGATGTTAACCTAATGGAGTATATTATTAAAAATCATGTTTGAGGTAGTTCTATGTAATTAAAAATATGTGAAAATGTATTCCTTTTTTCTCTCATTAGAACCTGTTTCAGTTGCAGAATCATTTTCTATGCAACAAGATATTATGCTGGTTTTAATTGAACTCCCATCACTTACATTCCTCTGCTTGTATTTCTTAATATAATATGCAGCACAATTATATGTGATGAAGGACAAGAGGTTTTTGAAATCTGGTGCACCTGCTGATAGTATTTTGAAAAACACAAACATTGTAGAAGGAAATGAGACCTTTTACCTGTGAAAAGTTAGTGGATTTTGTTTTTTTCCTTTTAAAAGAAGGTCAGTTCCTGCCATACCATTTCCTGAGATGGTTTCTTACAGTAGGAATAGGTTTATTTCTTCTTCATGTATGTGTTTTATCTATTTTTTTCTGCTAATATAAGGTGACTCAGCTTGTTGAAATGCCATTTTAATGGCTTCAGTCAAAATACAATATAACAAACAGGCTGGTTTTCAACCTAATGTGAAAAAAAGAAAAGGGTTTTCGTTCTATGCACCTTTGCCTTTACTAGAGTGGATTTATTGCTATTAAACCAAATTTTGAACTCACAACAATTTGTTTGTTCATTTGTCAGTCTGAGTAAAAGACACAGGATAGACCTACTCACACATCAGGTTTTCACATAATGGATCCATAATTGGACACATTCATCAGCTTCAGCCACTCTGGCTGTGAGAAAGCAGAAGCACATTGATCTCTGGAGTATTTTGATTTGGGGGAAAATTCCAGGCTGTGGTTTAGATATTGTCATGATTCCCAAGAACTTGCTGAAGGGGGATAGTACCCATTTTTTTGGTGTTAAGGTGTCTTTTTGGCTCAGAAACAATGGCACAAACCCCTTGCTCAATGTAACAATATCTGCCCACAGAGTGGTTTGGATGCTGCTTAGAGGACAGGGTTTGATTTGATTTTTTTCACAAGCAGTTTTTGTCAGCAAGGAGAGAAGAGAAACAGGTTGGCTTGAAGGAAACAATTGTTGTTCTTTAATGTTGTCTGTTAGTTAGAGTTGAAATAAAGAATAAGACTGCTTATAAGCCTATTGTGTGGAAATATCATGTAAAATATCAATATTCATTATATTCAGTATAAATATCTAGATGGATATCCTGTGTTCCACAGATACTACCTGTCTATAGAATTTCATTATTATTAATGTGTAATTGCCACCACCTCCATGCAGTTTGATCTAGTTTGTAAAAATCTTTTCTGAAAGAAGCCAGAATTTTTCATTAATGCACTGTTGCTGAAGGACTTATTTCAGATCCTCTGCTGGGAGTGCTTGGAAGTGTGTGTTTTATAGCCCTCTTACAATCTGGCATCAAATAAAGAAGTATTTCCAGTTCTACTCTATAATGCAAACCAAAATGCAGAAGTATTGTCACCTTTAAGAAATAGTTACATCCCATCAGGTGATTAAGCATCACCCCCTACTGAATGGAGACCTCAGTTTCCTGGACCTATCAACTTACAGGACAGAAAATACATTGGCAGCCACAAAATTTGAGAATCCATAGCTTCTTTTTTTTTTCTTTTTTTTTTTTTTTTTTTTTA